AAAAGCATATATCTTTAAAATAAAATATACAAATTTTCATAAGATATTTTAATAAATCTCCAATAATTACAATAACAGTAAATGTCAGCTGCAAACCATTTCATACACGCAATTACTGAAATATACACACGCTGACACTTAATTTAATTATCGCAAAACAGCTGTAATGGCTCGCACAAAATAGCAACAACAAGAATTTTATTGTTAAAGGATCAGCCGTTATGTTGCTAGTTAAGAGTGTAATTAGTGAGTGAAGTGTTTACGGACAGGCTAAGAATATACATACATACGCACGTATAATTGAGTGGTTAACATAAACACAAAAAGGCTGCTCAGCATAACTGGAAGGTAAGTTATGTATTCAATTAAAAGTTGATATGTGTGTGAAATGCGTCGAACCGCAGGCAATTAAATAAATAAATGACGACATTAAGCGGAAAGTGATTTGTGGAATAAATTTTACTTAATTATCAAACAAAATTAAAATTAATTTAATTACATATATAAACGTATTATAAAATTAACTAAGATTCCCGCACGAAAAAAATATCGTATACTATATTTTTTTTTAAATAAGTATATGTATTGGCTAATCTTGTCTTCGAACCTTTTAACGCTAGCCAATCAAGGTGTACAAACGTAAGGACAAGAACCATAACTAGCCACTTCAGTGTAGATACACACTTTTCAATCAGCCAATTAGAAGACGCGTAAGAAGAATTTGAAATTTTCTATAGAAATGTTATATTTAACAGCCTAAACTTGAGGAATGGAAGTTCGGAGCTTTTCATACCATTCAGGAACATAAAATTGTGTGCTAACTTTTGACCGAAGTATGTAAGTATTAGAAGGAGAGGAGAGAGATACGTTTACCAACAGGATTTATTTAACTTTGTCCTTCTGCTTGACCGTTTGTTTGAACGCAAGCTAGTGCATTAGATTTTGATATATTTCAACCACGTACACGTACGTACTACACAGCGTTTTAATTTTTACTGTCAGGCTGACTAGTCGGAATTGACTGGATCTGACCTCAGGAACATATAAGTGCCATAAAACAGTTATGGATCGAAAATCCGTAAAAAAGGAGTTCATAATACAGTTCCTATACCACCGATTTGCTTAGAAACATAACAAATTTGTTGTGTCTATAAAATATATGCAGATTTCGGCAAGAAGTTCTTTCATACTTATTACGTTTTAATTATTTATTTTTTTTTCATTTTAGTTGGTTTTAAATAAATTTTTAATTTTTTGATACATTTTGTTTACTACTGCTTTAATTTACTTTAAGTTTAACTTAATTGCATTAACCTTATTTTATTTACATTCCTTTTTATTTCTTAGCAGTTTTATTTTATTTAACTTTTTATTATTATTTTATTTTATATAATTATACATATATTACTTTAAATTATTTTATTTTTCGTTTTTTTTTATATTACCTAATTATGATTTATTTTATTTAAATTTTTTTTATTTTTATACATTTAGTTTCATATTTTAAGTTCAATTTAATTTAATTTAATACAATTAAATTGAATTTTGTTTTATTTTATTTTATTTTACTTTATTTTGTTTTATTTAATTTAATTTTATTTTAGTTTCGTTTTTTATTTTATTTTATTGAAAATTATTTTATTATAAATTATATATTTTTTAAGTTAATTTATTTTATTTTACTTTATTTATTACTTATTACTATTAAATTTATCTCATTTTATATTATTTAATTTATTTTTTAATTTATCTCATTCTATTTTATCTTATTTAATTTAATTTATTTTGCATTATTCAAATTTATTTTATTTTATTTTATTTTATTTTATTTTATTTTACTTTATTTTATTTTATTTTATTTAAATTATTTTATTTAAATTAATTTAATTTTAATTTATTTTATGTTATTTTATTTTATATTAAATTATTTCCTCTTGCATTTATTTTTAAATTTACTCTTGAATTATACAAGTATATTTATTTTTATATTCATTTTTCGTTTTTTTCATAAATTTTATTGTTGTTATTTAACAGTTTTACACGGTCAGTAAGTAAATAAATATTTATTTATCCGTTAACTGCTCAATGGTTGGTCATGTCGTCGTGGTCATCGATGTTCGGTTGGCTCATTGAATAGACTTGTGATGAGATTCCACTGCTCATGAATATACAGACGTGGATAACAATAAGCGGTAAACAATACATACATAATCAACATAATTCATATGTATATACAGAATTTTAATTATTTTTGTTATTATTATTTACTGTTGTTGCATTTATTGTTGGTGCTGCTGTCACTTTGATTATGTCGTTGATGAAGTTCACGATCTGTTGGCAGCGCAACAGCAAACTCAACTATGTGACGAAGTATATACAAATAAACATATATGCACTTGTATATACATATGCCCTATGTACGCATGTATGTATAGAACATTTTGTATTTGTATTTACGCCGTTGGTCGCTGATGAATTGATTAATTATGCACACATCATTAATTATGCATGAATGAACAGGCAAATACATTCGGTTTCTATGGAAACGTCTATGTATGGGTTGGTGTGAGCACGTGTGTATTACTTAATTTATCTATATTAGTCCAATATAATCTAAATAAAAGCAACAATAATAATCAATCAGTGAAATATTCATTGTGCCACATTTAGCCAATATAAATCACGGGTAGCTGCTGCTACTCTCTGCATGAATCTGCGCAACAGCAATAACAACAACATCAACAGTGGATTAGCAGCAGACTCAGCAGCATGCCTCGTTTGAGTAGTGAAGTAGTAATGCAAAGTGTTAATATATTTACGCTATGATCTAAATTAAGTTCGAAAACTTCAGCAACTAAAGCAGCAACAACAAGAACGTCGTATAATTAATGTATTTTGAACGAATTTTAATCTAAATTCGCACAGCAGCCAAAGTCGGTTGATATAAATGTATATATGTATGTGTTTAAGGATATACGCTTTAGTGATTAATTTGAATTGAGAAATTGATGTGATCAAAAAAATTATATTTAAATTTATTTCACTAAAACTATATTCGCACAGCTATTAATTAGCACTAAATTAATTCATCGTCAAATATAATTTTGTTGTTGGTATGGCCTTGTTGTTGAATAATTGCTAGCTATTTTGTATAATAAATTGCAAGGACATACGTTATTTTTTAAAATAAAAATATAAAAAAATACGTTATTTTTGAACATACAAAATAGTAATCTGTACCATCGAAATAAAATTAAAAATAATAAAATGAACTGATGTAAAATAAAGTTATATTATTAAACTAAATCAAAGTAAATAAAACTAAAAAAAATAAAATTTTATTAAAACAAAATTAAATCAAATTAAATCTTATTATATAAAATAAAACAAGACGAAATATAAAAATTTAATAAAGTTTTATTAAATATAATTAAATTTAACTAACCCAAATAAAATTAAATAATAAATAAAAAAAAGGTAATTCAAATGCATAAACTGCATAAAATGCAAAAAATGAAATAATATTAATAAATACAAATCAAAGTAAAATAAAATACGATGGAAAATGAAAAACTAAAAATAAATTAAAACGAAAAGAAATAGTCAGAAAATTTAGATATAAAAAAGGAAACAAACACTTAAGTAAAAAATAATATTAAATATAGCAAAACAAAATAAATAAAATAAAATAATATAAAAAAAAGGAATAATCTAAATCAATATAAATCAATCAAAAAATATCTTTTTAAAATTAAAAAGTTTCATTGACAACCCCAAAAAAATCTCCATTTCAATTCGCCATTTTGTTAATAAAAATGAATTTTTTTGAAAATTTTTAATTTAATTTAAAAAGATTTCAGCCAACGAGCTCAAACCAACTGAGCAAACCTAAACCAATACCTTAAATGTTATGTTGTTAAGTAAATAAAATCGTTAAACAATAATTTCAGTTTGACGAAAAAATCAGCAAAAACAGCCAAGCTATGTTCGGTTAAAAAGCGCCTTTTACATATTTGATTAATAAAAGCGCTTTCTTCAAAAAATTCCAGTTTTTAGTTTGCACTTGAAATCGGGCACGAACTTATGCACTCATCCAATATTGCGTATGAAAAAAATGAAACCGTTTGTAAAAAAAAGTTAAGTGGGAAATTCAAAAAATTTAGCTCACTTACTGGTTATTGTCAACAACTCTTACCATAAATTTTTATATAATAATATGGTTATTTATATCACTCTTTGAACATTATCGGTGTCGTGCTTGCTTTCATTTACAATAACATAATCACCAGCAAACACATCGTCATGAAAAGCATTTGTTTTGAGAGTTTTCTTAAATAATTCTTAATTTTTTTTTAACTTTTTTGTTTTATTGATTTTTATTTTATTTTAATTTCCTTCAAAAAAAACGAATAAATGCTAAGCCAAGGAATTTTTTTATTTAATTTTACTTAATTTATAATTTAATTTTAAGCAGTTTTATTTAATTTTTTCTTAATTTCTTTTATATTAAAATATTTTTTTTTGTTTTATCTTATTTTATTTAATTTTGAATTAGTTTAGTTTTTTTGTTTAATTTAATTTTATTTTAATTCTTTCATTTTATAATATTTTATTTGTTTATAATATTTTACCTCATTTAATTTATTTATTTTTTTTATTTTATTTTATTTTATTTTATTTTAAATAACTTTATTTTTTTTAATTTCATTTTATTTTATTTTATTTTGATTCATTTATTCTATAATAAATTCTTATTTTTTATAAAATTTTACTTTATTTAAAAAAAATTTTTTGTTTTATTTTATTTTAGCTTGTGTTATTTTATTTAATTTTCATATTTTTTTTATACTATATTTATTTTTTTTCATTTTATTTTATTTAATTTTTATTTTTTTTTGGTTTTTTTTATTTTATTACGTTTAATTTTTTTTACTTAATTTTTAAGTTTTTTTAAATTTTTTTCTTTGTTAAATATCTTTGATTTTCTTTACAACACTCACTTTAAAGCAACCGCAAATTCATTACTCCTTCATTCATTTTGTCGTGGTGTGCACGTCCCCAAAATGTTTTATTATAATCTTGCACTCATTCATTCGTAGAAATTTATTGTTTTATGTTTATTAATATATTTTTTATATTTATTTTCTTTTCTCTTCAGTAATTGCGTGCCCTTTATTAATTACTTCATAAACAAAAAACTACCGACGCGGCCATTTGAAAACACGCAACTAATATTCAAATGGTTTTTTCTCTTCAGCTCAACCCCACTAACTAACTGACTACGCCGCGAAGACCGAGTGAGTTCTACTCACATTGCAATACAACTGATAAAAAATACATACAAAAATTATTGTAAGAATGGCAAATACTTATCTGTATACAGTCGTGCGCAGAAAAAAATGATAGCGGAAATGAAAAGTGAAAAAATTATTAATTTTGCATACTGCTGCTTATTATATTCCAAAATCCTTCACTTTACTGCCATTTTCCATCGCCCTACTGTAGCTTACTATATGCACGTGTTTTGTTAGTGTTTAAGTCTGATAAAAGCGTATTATAAAAGCGAAATTATGCTGTTGCCATTTTTCAATGAATTCTACAAAACTTCAGGCGCTCGGCGTTACCGTGAGTATGAGAGTACAAACATTTTTAGCTACGCTCCATTTAATAATCGTAGAAGACTGTCTGTAGTTATTGTTGAAAATATTATGTATATAAGAGAGTATTCGGACTGATAAGCAAAAGTTATTTATCTTAAAAATTTTATATTGGTTGTTTCACATTTTGTTTTTTAGATTTTTTCGAGGCATATTTTTTTATTTAATCTAGAATGTATGTTTGTATGTTTTTTGTTTGTTGATTCAATATTTACCTGTTCATGGCTTTTTTTTATTTATTTTGTTGTTGCTTCGCACATAGTTTCCATAGAGGAACTTTCATGCTTAATTAAGATAACAATTTTAACAACTGAAAATAATTGAAATTTTGTTTTTGTTTTTATTTTTCTTTTAGTAGAAACTAACTGGAATGTCGTTTTTTTAAATTACCTCGTTAGATTTAATGAAAAAGCAGTAAAATTTAAATTTCATTTAGACTACTCAAACTCGAAATTAGTTATAAAAAACTTAAAAAAACGTCCATAAAATTACAAAATTTTACGAACTCATATATTTCAATGAAAAATTTAAAACGAAGCAATTGAATCGATTATCTTTCTGTATAAATTAACTTTTGTTGGTGCTTGGAACTAAAATAAAATAAAAAAATAATAAATTTTATTTTATTTTATTTTATTTTATTTTTTTTTCAATTTTATTTTATTTTGTNTTTATTTTTTTTTTGTGTTTTGTTTTATTTCATTTTAGCTTATTTTATTTTATTGATGTTATTTAATTATGTTTGATTTTCTTTTATTTATTTTTTGTATTAAAGGAAATAAGTTCTTAAACGAATAAAACGTATTCGCTGGAATTACCCACATTTGCTCCATTCTTATCGACGTCAATTAGAGAGTTTTAAAACTTAAGCTCTTCAAACTTTATTTTTGTAATTCTCTTTAAACGCCAATCACTGTGAAATTACCGGCACTTAAAAATGGCCCACAAAATGGTAAGAAGAAAACAGCAGCTAAAAAACCAAAACAATAATAAGCAACTAGCGAGACTTGGAAGCAGGTATTTTACAACAACAAAACAAGGAAAATTTAAGAGATAAATTGAAGAAGAAAAACAATTAACTACAAGCAATTGCTTCAAGCCATCATTAATCTGTCTACTATTTTATATAGTATATGTTTACGAAGAAATGTTGCAAGTTCTCGCCAGTCTTAATTTCCACTTAAAAGGTAAGCGTTTAAAGAAGATTAAACAGATATTAAAATGAAGAAAAAGAAAATGCAATAAAAAACATTTGAAAGTGTAGAAAGGAAAAATAAGAATTTTAAATCAAAGAAAAGTTGGAAGACAAAATAATCAAGTGTCGGTCGCAAGCAAGATTTTTTCGTACATACATACCTATATATGCATACAGTACTGATTGTGCTGAGCAAGAAAAAAATTAAATAGCAAATTCAATGAAAAGAAAGCGTGGCAGTGCTACAAATTCCTTATTTGCAACAACTTGGTGGATGCTGCTGCTAGTGCCTGCTTGCTGCCTGTCGCTAAATTGTTTTTACTTTCTTCCCATTTCTAAAGTCTTTGTTGCCTTTTCGTTTATCGCTTTGTTGTATTGCTTGTAAAAAGCATTTTGCCGAGACGCACAGCTGACAGGCGCTTCACTTTAACGGTGCATAGAATTGAGAAAGCAAATGCGTCAGTTAACAACAACAAAAATGACAACGTCAAACATTGCACTACTGTAGCAATCAGCAAGTAAGTGGCAAACAGCTAATGTGGCAACTTTTAACAGCAGCAGCTGTCAACATGCCGCAATCAAAACTCGAAGCAAGCAAGCAATTCCAAATAAAGCAGAATAGACCAATAGAGGCCAGTAGAGAAAGAGATACAAAGGAGAATGTGCTAATCGATGCTGGAAGGGGAAAAATTTGTACATGATCCAATACAAGTTGTTCTTCTAATTTTTATTTTATCTTTTTATTTTTTATTTGATTTAATTTAATTTAAATAAAAATTTTTTTGTTTATTTTATTTTATTTTATTTTGTATTATTTTATTTAATTTAATTTTCTTATTTAATTTTATTCCGTTTATTCAACTTATTTATGGGTTTCAGTTTTATAGAACCGTCTCAGACCATATATTTTTTGGGAATATGTAAAAAATATTACAACAAAAGATTCGGACTATGGATGTTATAGCTGCTATTTCGGAACCCCTACGTTTCCTTATCAGACTTCTTTTTCCAAACACCTTTGTTCGAATTGAATTCTTCCACCATCCAAATCTGTTGCTGTTATTTTATTTATTTTATTTATTTTTTTTTTTTAAATTTATTTTAAATACTTTCGTTTATTTTAATGTATTCTATTTTATTAATTTTTTTGATTTTAATTTGTTTTAAGATTTTCAGTTCTTTCTTTTTTCACATTTTATTTTAATTTTTATTGTTTTAAAAAAAATGAATTTATATCTAATTTTAATTGATTTTGTTTAATATTATAACTTTTTTGTTTTATTTTATTTTGGTTTGTTTTATTCTACCTAATTAGATTGAATTTTTATTTTAATTTATTTAATTTTTTTGATTTAGTTTTTCTTATCTATGTAACTATATTTTTTTATATAATTTTTGTATTTTTATTTAAAATGTATTATTTCATTTAATTTTTTATATTATATTTTAATATATTTTATTTTAATTGACTATTTAATTTTTCATTTTTTTTTTTACTTTTTATATTTTAATATAATTTACTTTAATTGATTTTATTTTATTTTAATTTTTTTTTTAAATCTTTTTCTTATTTTATTTTATTTCAATTTATTAGTTTTATTTTATTTTATTTTTTTTTATCTTATTTTAATTTATTAGTTTTATTTTTTTATTTTATTCTATTTTATTTTATTTTATTTTATTTTATTTTATTTTATTTTATTTTATTTTATTTTATTTTATTTTATTTTATTTTATTTTATCAGTTTCTGATTTTATTAAATTTGTTCCATTTACTAATTTTTTTCCATGGCTTAGGTGAAAAGCATGCGAGCTTTCGAAGTGTAGAATAAATTTGATGTTAATGATGCCGTTGGTGGAGAAGAAGAAAGAGGAAGAAGTCGAAAGAGCCGTGTTAACTTAAGCTGAACTCGCAGTGGCACAAAAGATTTGTTTTCTTAGAAATCATTTTGCGAAATTGTGCCGCACTAACACTGTTGCCACATTTCTCATTTACTTGTATATTAATTTTCGCTTAAGAAATGCTCACTTTTGCTTGCAGAATTCACCATTAACTACTTTTGATCTGAAAGTAAAAGAGATTCCATGCTCTTGTAACATATTTTATGTATGTTACTAATGTGGTTTTTTCTCTTATTGTTGTTGCTTTAGATCATCTATGGGGTATACGTTTATGGGAGATTTCTCTTCCTTACTTGTTTTTTTGCCCGGTGAGGACTCTAATTCTATAAGAGGGTTTCAATTTTGAAATTGAAGGAATCTTCTCTCAATCTTTCGACGTTTACCTTGCGCCTACAGCTGCGCACATAGACGAGCCGAAGCCATACCCAGTGTTTATAAGCATTTCTTCGTATTTTTAGGTTATCTGAAAAAACGGTTGAAATTTTACCTCTTCAAGATTCTTCCCATCAATTAAGAAACTTTTTATGTGGCTCAATCCCCACTAGTCGTCCTGTGAAGGAATTATGGTGGAAAAGGTTCCACTTGGCGCCAGCTTTCAGTCAGATAGCTGAGAATTATAGAATTAAATTATATTACAAATATAACAACAGCCGATCTTGGAGGTCAAATGGCTTCACAAAACCTCCGAAAACTTCCTATTGAGTGTCGTTTACAAAGGAGCTTCTAACTGACTTGGGCAACGTTTGAAAAATTTCTTTCCTGGTTTTATAGGTATAGGTGCTGATTTTAAGCTAAATTTTTAAACAAATCTTGAACTTCTGAAGAAAATATACATTAATCCTAATCCAGAAAGATGTCGAAAGTGTGCAGGAATACCCTTTCAGTACCTGTTGCATTCCAGTAAATAGTATAGACTGTCATTTTGAGACTCTTATAATCGCCTCAGATTGGTATGGTAGAGAGAGAGTGTAGACGGCTCCATCTCAGATGAAGCCAGGTTTTAGAAAACTTAGAGCCTACTCAACCAGCGCTGGAATAATTTATATCGGCTTAAGTTAAAGTAGGAACTCTGTTGAAAATTTCCCAGACAGTTACGTTTCCGTTATACAAGAAGTAATACTGATGCGAAAGTAATCACTCTTATGACCACACTTTGGCTGACAACATATGTACGAGGCAACACTTCAAAGAATATCTTGAAACAAGAGCTATATATATTATACACATACAAACATATATTGTACATAACTCTATTGGAAATCAAAGAGTAGGAAATTAAGTGAAATTAGTAGATAGCCAACGGCAAGCAGACCACAATCCACCGCCATCAGGCAACAGTAGCTGCTCGAAGCCAGCAAATAATCATAAAACGTGTCGGCCGTGAAATTTTTAATCAAAGCACAACAGACAACTGCACAAATAATGTCTAACACACATACATGCAAAGTATATATCAGTGCTGTGTCTGGTTACACTTTGGTTGTACATTTTGGTCGTAGAAGTAGCACAACGTGCAATTACGGTAATAAAAGCGCTAGCGCATCTCCTAAGCGAAAATGTTGTTATTGAGGGAAATTAAATGAAAATTTTGCGAAAACGAAATGTTCGCAATCAGAAAGTAAATATATACATATCCATATGTATGTAAGTATGTATAATAAGAGGATGGAAGTTGTCTGGAGTGTGTGAATACAAAACGAATGGAAAAGGAAATCGGAAAATGGAAATTGTTATTGGCATCAACAATATTAAGGAAGCTTTTCTCCCATCTGCATCACTTGTTATATTTCAATTTAATTTATATATTAAATAAAGATTTATTTTTATTTTCAATAATTTTAATAATTTCATTTTATTAAATTTAATTTTATTATTATTTTTCATTCTTTTATTTAATTTAATTCTTAAATTTTTGTCGTTCTAAGTATTTTCTCTGCCTTTTTTTCAATCCATTTTATTTAATTAAA